ATCACCATCATCATAATTATCATCGTCATCACCATCGTGGTATAATAACACCGTCGTTGTTTTCATAATTTATTATGATCGTGATCACCATCACCGTCATCATAATTATCATCGTCATCACCACCGTGGTATAATAACACCGTCGTTGTTTTCATAATTTATTATGATCGTGATCACCATCACCATCATCANGTCGTTGTTTTCATAATTTATTATGATCGTGATCACCATCACCATCATCATAATTATCATCGTCATCACCACCGTGGTATAATAACACCGTCGTTTTCATAATTTGTTATTATCATCATCGTGGTCGTCTTCATCATTATAATTATCATCATCACCACCACCGGCTCATTATCATCAACCCCAGCATCAACATTGCTACAAAATTTGCAAAAGTTCTGCAGCTAAGACAAAAAAGACTATTTCTGACATCTCACCTTTTTACCTCTTTCGCCAATCTCTAGTTTGGGCCTCCTGTGTTTCTTGCATCCTTCTCATTCAAGACCATGTAAAGGCTACTTGTAGTACAGTACACTAATCAAATCACCTTTTTATCGATCCTTTTGATATATTTTTTATACTTTTTTAACAATTTTTTATACATTTTTAATTGAAAAAGGAATTTGGAATTTCGTAGACGGAATTACCCAAATTATATTTATGATTTCACTTCTTAATTAAAACAGATAGAAACTATTACCAATAATATATAATTGATAATTATTAGAGTTTACTAATATATTGATTCAGAGCACTAACTCATAATAAAGAGTTTTCAAATTCCAGTGTTTTATCGTTGTCATCTCTGCTGTATTCAAAGGTTCTTATGACAACATTTTAGACCATATTTTTGGTGGTATTTTTTTCAAGGCAGAGTCTAGGAGCGTAGATTTTTTGTAGCCAAAACATGGTCTTGAATGTTGGTATAAGTACATAGATAAGTTCTAATAAACCTTTCTTGAATGGATTTGATATGAAACTGGTTTCAATCGAGGCTAGACTTAATGAATTACAGTAAATGTATGAAGACATCAAGTCAAACCTCGACTTGGAACCATTGTTTCGTGGACACTCAAGTATTCCGAAAAGGTCTATTGGACAGATAAATGTTATAAACCGCGTAACGTGACTGGTGCACTCTTGCTTCACTTTGATTGGCTTAAAGCAAGATCTACCCAAAGACGTGGATTACAATCGTCCCAGACAACGTCCCATACAATTCGCCTAGCGTCTATCAAGTTTACGTTTATCTGAATCAAATTTAAAGCTCTGTTTACACTAGCGATTTTTGCGGCGATTTTTTTTTTAGATTTTGTCCATAATAAATAATGGTAAAGAATTTACTTGTAAAGTTTTTTTCAGGATGAGACAAAAGATTTAATATTTCGGAAAAAATTGCCACAGAAATCGCAGCAAAAATCGCCGCAGAAATCGCAAGTGTAAACGGGGCTTAAGGTTGCCGTGGTCGCAGAAACATAAAGCTATGGGCCAGTGACGCGAATTGTTTTGTGCAACAGCAAAAAAGAATAATAAGAGTTTCGCGTCACGTGACACAGTCTTCCACATTGGGACCGTCCGCGAATTGGCGCGCAATACCGATAGAATGTTTGTGGCAACAAATCAGTGCCCTATAGATGACTAAACAATGCAAGCAATAAACCCCTGAAAGGAAGACTGAATATATATAGTACTGTCAAGTGTCTTACAGCCACACGATCGCAATTAACTTCATATCGATACTCCATTATCAACCTTTTGATGCTGGAATAGCGTTATCTATGCATTTATAAGGGCCTTTTCAGGTGGTCTTGCGCTCGATAGCTTGATCCTATTCGCAAAATAACAAGAAAACGAAGCGCTTAGCAATACATGACTCTTCACTAACGCAATTTTCTTTTGAAATAACAATAAATAAATTTTCCGCAAACCAACTCAAACCAATTTCAGGCTTACAGCCATGTCTAACTAGAATAATCTGTTCATCTGTTAACACTGTTTCGTAATGTTATTTACAGCGTTCTGTAAAAGATGACAGAATAAAGAGACTACAAGAAGAGTTAACCGACGTCCAACAACAGTACTCCGAGTGCTATGATGAGGTAAGACGTAAAAACATAATAGAGCATAATAGACACCTTAAGCACGACGTTCTTGCTAGGTACCGCAAACCTCAGTTACTCTCGATCACGTTTTTGACACCATCAAAAATCTCACCTTTCGACCGTCCACCCGTAAATTTATTCCTGATCTATAAAGAACATCTACATTGGGTTTGGTTTCGCACGAATCAATGGACTTCGTCAATGTTGCCCATTATGACGTCAAAACAAATTAAGACGTCATAATATATTTGACGTCATAAGAGAGTGTCAAAGTCAGTAACTGCACTCGCACCCGTTTTTAACCATGGTGGATAAAAATAAAGAATATTTATGTGGCTGTTCTGCGACATAAAGAGAAACCATGTCGGCTAAAAAGATGAAGCTCAAGCCCATGAGTTTGCGAGACGTGGCACGGGTATCCAACAAAGTGCATGACACTGTAAGTAAAGAACGGTTTCCACGACTTTCTCTAAGTTTAATTAGAAGTTGTTGCGCGCGTTTTTTGCTTGTGTTGAGAAAGAAACTATAGCTCATTTCGCCGAACGTTTCCTGATGCGGAAACAAGGCCATTCAACGTCATATTTTCGCGCAACATTGTTGCGATGCAATTTGCGCAGAGAAGGTTACGCAACAAATTTTCTTTGTCCCGAAAAGTAGATAAAACTTTTGTCGTAAGATGTTGGGGTAAATTGTAGGCTGGTTCATTCGTTTGTGTCACACGTAAAACAAGCTTAAGGACGAAATGAAATTATATTTTAGATTTTTCTATCCAAATGGATTTATTGCCATTTGATTTGGTTTTATATGATCATGACCGATGTGTCTTTCTTTCAGCTTGTCCAACAAGAGGAGTTGATGACCAAGCTGAGGGATGAGATCTCGAGTCTGCAGATTGATTTAGGGAAATCCACTGATGAGGTAAGTGGACGAGGTTTTTATTATCGTTTCAATCAATTTACGCGACCTTTTAGTGATGAGCACCTTTAAGTACAGTGGATTCTCTACACTTCTCGAGTGTTCAGCCAATCCCCAAGTGCTTTATAACTGCACGCGGCACAGCAAACAAGTTTTTTATTTCTTTTATAAAATACAAATTACAATAACCTTTATTTTAGATAGGAATTGAAAGTGCGCGCGCGTGCTGTGTGCTCTCATAAAGCACGAGCTCCCAACCAATCAGAGCGCGAGATTGATAACAATTATTTTATAATGTCCCGTAGAAGTCCTTAGTAATGGAATATTTAGCATCTGTGAACTTCTAGTTTCGCGAGCTGAAATCTCAGAACGTCTGACGGATTGATCGGATAAATAAGCAGGAGCACTACCTGTTATACATTTAAATACCATAATTAATAGCTAGGTAAGGTATATTTATTATAGGGCGTATATTTATGATAAGGTGTATATGACCAGAAGGTCTCTATCTTAACAGTGTTTTGTTTCTAATGCAGTTGGCCAGGTCTCACGAGTGCATTCATTCCTTGGAAATGGACCTCGCGGTGTCGAAAGAGAAGCATAGGACCTGCGCAGTAGAGGTATGCATTTAGATCTTTGCCTATTTGGTGTTTCGTAATGACAGAGATAATGGCAATTCAGTTTGGTATGACAGGGAATCTTGGAATGCCATTGCTAACGAGACATATATTTTCACCAGGTATCTAAGCGAGATGAAGCTATTCTGAATCTTCAAGCCGAACTCGACGCCACCCAACAAGAATACGAAAACTGCTCATCAGAACTGGAACACAGAGACAAAGAAGTGGCTGAACTGAAATCTAACATTGTCAAGCTAGATTCTGATGTACGAACACTCAGGACACAGGTTGAGAGCGCAAATGAGAAGGTAAGAACGCAAGGATTTCCTCCTGTTTTTTTTTGGTTTTCTTCTCTCTGCAAAAATTGGCTCGGGCGTTAAGCGCTTTCGTCAGGCGCCTTTGGCTCGAGAGATTCAGCAATCAATTCCAATCACAATTGCAAAGAAAATTAAATGTTTTAAATCAGCGGCAATAGACCTCTTGTTAGTTTAGTTGTAATGTTTTCCCATTTCAGACCACGTGTCATTCCCTAGAGTATTATTTCTATGTTTAACGGTTGCGCATTGACACATGCATGAATATGGATACAACTGACACAAAGAATTCTGTGCTTGAGAAAATGACACGTGGTCTGAAATGGGAAAACATTAGACCCAAGCTAAAACAAGTCTATTACTTTTCTCGGGTGCGTATGAGAAGACCCATAAATATGGATATAACTCGAACGAATAATTTTATTCTGAAGAGAATGACACGTGGTCTGAAATGGGAAAACATCAAATCCAAGCTAAAGAGGGTAATTCTATTTCTATCATCTAGTTGTAATACTTACTGGCGTATGTTATTCTTCTTTTCCAGATGTCATCGGATGAACGAGAGATAAGCCAACTACAGGCGGACAAAGCGCGCTGTATGCAAGAGGTAAACAGAGAACAGAATCTATCTGTATTTTTACAATAATTTACAAATTTCTCGCGCGCTGATTGGTTATTTCGTATCGTCAATGAAGAGGACAGACAGATAAAGCTGACGTCAACGAGCGCGCGCTCTTTCCGTTGGTTGTTTTGATCGCTAAAAATGAGAAGTTTTTATCGTTTTTGTTATTGTAAAAAACACCTCGTGGATCCACACTACTTTGACAAATTGATGACGCAATTTATCGTCAATAAGAGGACAGACACATAAATAACTGATGTCGATTTGATAAATTTAGAGACTAAATTAAAACATGCAAAACAACACCCACGTAAACCCTGGGGGTTGGTAAAGCATCAGTCTTGTGTGCAGAAGAACCTGGATTCAAGTTCAACAAGGCTATGTGCGCATCCATTGAAATCGAAGAAAAACAATGTCTTGTGCATCAAATTTAAATGACGTATTTTCAAATTACCTGTTTTTAGGTGCAACACTTAATGCAGACGGTGGAGCACTTGGAATCATCTTTGTCAGATGATCAGCAAGACCATGAAACTGAGGTTAGTTTACGTCTTTGAAAATTGGTATCTTTTCTTAGAAGAGAGTAAATGAGAGAGCAATGCTGCCCAATAGACCTCTTTACCTTGTGCGTAATACGTTTCCATTCTCGTGAGAATAAGACTCTTTGCTTGAGTCGTATCAATATTTATTCTTTTCTTACTTTGGTTCAATGATGGACAAACTCTTCTCAGTTCCCTAAGTATTTGACATGTTTTTACAGATCAAGCGACTAAGTACAGAGATCGAAACTCTTGGTAATAATCTGACAGACGCACTGCGTAAAGAAAATGATACAGCTTCCTTGGTTAGTGAACAAGCCAGACATCTGTCTGTCCGGCAACTGTGACTGTCTGTCTGTCCGTCAGTCCTTTACATGTCTTTTTGTCTGTTTCTCTCAGTGCATTACATGTCTGTCTGTCTATCCGTCAGGACTTTACATGTCTGTCTGTCAATATGTCAGCTAATTTGATGTCTCAGTGCACACCTGTCAATTGTCGATATGTTTGACTCTCAGGCTATCGTGTTTGTCTGTCTGTCTGCATGTTTTCCAGTGCATCAGATGCCAGTCCATCCATCTGTCCTTTTATTCGTCTGTCTCGTCTTTCTGTAAATGTGCCAGTTAATTTAATGTTTGTCCATTTGTGATGTCTGTCTGTTCGACTCTTAGTTTGTCGTGTCATGCATGCAGTCTGTATGTCTGTCAGCTCAATTGATGTCTTTCAGTTTATCAAATGTCTTTCTGTCTGTTTGTCCCTCCATCAGATCATTTAATTTATGTCTCTGTGTCAGTCCTTTATGTCTGCTATTTCGACTCTGCTGTCAGTCCGTCTTTTTGTTGATCTCTCTGCTTATCAAATGAACGTCTGTACGTCTCATTTTGCCTCCGTACCGTGCGATTTTTGCGCAATAAAAATAATCTGTTATAGCTACGTGTAGCCATCCTTCATACGTTTTGTATCTGTCTATTCATGTTACTTATCTCTGTCTGTCGTTGTCTGTCTGTCTTACACATACTGAATACTAAATATAAGTACTAAGTACTAAGTATTTTATTTGGCGTTCTTTATCTAATTTGTTAGTTAAGAGAAGAGTCTGATAAAACAGAAAAGCTATCAAGGGAAATACAGCAACTCCACAAATCTAAGCTGGAATGTGCTAAAGAGGTAAAAGCACAGGCAGACCAATATCTATATTACTGACTCCTTAAGCGATTGATATAAACCAAATCAAAATGTGGCTGGTCAGTTAAATAACTAGTTTTACTGGACTGTTTGTCATACATGTGAAAACGCTCATGTGTTTCCACCTGAACACGTTTCTAATCAGTCGCTAGTTTGTCGCTAGTCAGTGCAGATTAATAGTTATTCAAATTGGTCGCCATAATTCAATTTGGTGTATAGTGGTGTTATTTTCTTACTTACGATAAAAGTCAACGTGTGAATTGGATTAATGTACGTGAGAAATATTGATAATGTGATGATAGTTTGTGTGTGAGTCAGAGTTGGCCAAACTGGATACCAGTTTTATTCTGAATTTGTAAGCTTTGTTCTAAGCATCTTTGCACTTCGTTCAGGTTGAACGTGGAATCGAGGTGATGAAGAACCAAGACAATGAGATAGTAGAAACGAAGAAAAGAGTAAGTTTGATTACCATATCACTCCATTAACAGTCTTTCCCGCTACTCGGTTCGTACACGCCGCGCGCGCATCGATGAAAGTGGGTCGAGCTCTGGACTAGAATGCTTGATAATGAATATGGATGATTGATGTTGATGAAGAAAATGAATAAGCCCGAGTGAAATAGCACAGCGCAGCCGTTACGTCATAAAAACGAAGACAAAGGCGAAATTCGGACAAACAAACTTACAAGTTTACTTTCATCAGATAATTTTCACAGCCGATCGCAGTTGATCTTAGTTTACATGGGTTGTTATTGTAACTTTAAGTAAAAATAATAAAATCGGTTCGTATAATCCTCGTAGCGGTTAAACAGAATGCAATGTTTGTCCGAATCTGTAAGCTATTTTTAGAATCAGCGCGCTGCGCTATTTGTAATGGTTAATGATGGATCGATATTGTGTTATGAGCTATGGTAGATAGTTCATAAATGATTGGACATAAATAACAAATATATAGTATCGTGTTTGATAGGTATTATATGATGTAGTGAGTTTTGAATAATTGATATAGGTGGTTGATGATGCAAAGTTGGCGTTTAAAGTTCAGTCTAATTATAACTCATCCTGGCATGGCTCATTGTATTTTCCCTCCTCAGCTGATGTCTCTAAAAGAGAAGCTCAGAGAATATGATTCACAAAACAAGACTCTACAGAACAACTTGTCTTACTACAAGGACCAGTTCAACCAGAGTGTCAGTCAGGTAACAACTAGTCATCTAAATGCGCAAATTCCTGCTTATATAGATAGGCTTTGCGCCATCACGTGACAGCAGCCATGTTAGATGGCAGGAACGATACCATCGTTTTACATGAGAAAGAATTCAATTCCCAAGAGCAAAGGGATTTTATTGTTCTGCCATCTAACTACAGGCAGCCCAAGCTGTATCATTGGCGCCGGCACGTGATGGTGCAAAGCCTCTATTTTAAGAAGAACAAGCCGTGCACTAGTCATTCTACGTACAAGGATCTCAAAAACAATTTCTCAGTAAAGTCGTATCATACGGCACGTTCAAACAAAAGCAACTTTCGTATGACTGTGAAAACCTCTCGGCACGAACACAGTTGTGACACGGCAAAGCATAGGGCAGACTAACCACAATGCTCAAGAATTTACTCTCCATCCAATCGAATGCCTGAAACACGGCATGAACACGGCGCGTACACGGTCACGACAAGGTCACGGCACTGTCAGACCAATCACATTGCGCTAGAAAAAAATCAGCCAATTAAAATTCTAGAAAGCATCAGGGTTACGGCACGTTTACGGCACTGAACTTTTCACAGTCATGCGAAAACTGCTTTATTGAACCAGTCACAGTGCATTAGGCTGCTCAGTGCTCATCAATCACATGCTAAAACACTGATGTCAAGCACGTGCACCTTAGAGTAAGGAAAAAAAGATGGTCCACTCATCTATGTTTGCAGCAGAAGCTGGGTTATGCTAGATTTAATCTTTTTACGATGTATGTTGGTAGACTTGATGGATTCGTTATGAGATGCTGCACTTAGTTTATATTTTGATCATTATTTATTTTAAATTATATTTAAGGTTAATCGTTGTGAAAAGGCAATCAAGAACCTTGAAACTAGTCTTCAGGAGACGAGAAATCAGGTAAACTAAAAAATGAACCGTCAAATGTTATAGAACTACTGAATCAACATCTGGGCTGATCAAAGTCAGGGCACGTCTGAGTCACAATGAATTGGAATCTAGCTTGTTAGATAACTCGAAAAAAAATCTCAAACCAAGGGAGAGACCCAACAATCTCTACTCAGTTATTACGCTTACATAGGAATCAAATCAGAAACATCAGATGTGAAAGGCGAGTGTGCTACCGCTACGGCGTCCTTGCATGATTCCCTTAAATGCTGTAATATTTTGGCGCGCATTATTAATAGTGAATGTCTCTCTGACGTTTATATTATCTCGATTCTTCAAAGGTTGTGGAGAAGGACAAAGAACTGAATAAGCAGTGTGAAGAGCTCGCCAACGAGAAACAAAACTACATCGAAGAGCGTTCTAAGGTATAACTTGAGTCAGTCACTACTTTAAGTACCTATAAACAGATAATGACTAGTGGTTACTAGCTCGGACTGTAAATTGAATAAGAAGGAAATTTAAACACCATGTAAAAAAAATTGTAACTATTAGCAATTGCGAGATTGATGTACATGGAAACTAGGTTGAGTTAGCATTGCAGTGCATTGTGGGACTGTAAGGGGGACAAAAATATAGACGCCATCTTGGAAATATGTCCCCTATAACAGGCCCACAATGCACTGCGATGCCAACTCGGCTCAGGTTTTTCCTCAACTTTGGCACGGATAATACAGAGATTTTGGACTGCGGTTAAGTTTCTTTTTCATTCATTGTGTGTACTATACAGTCTTGAATAACCTTAAGCTAGGGTGTGTTCGTCTTCACTAAGTCTATTCAATCGTGTTTTTATTGCTCATTCAAGATGGTTTACCTTGGGTGCAAGTTTTTTACATTTAAGACCACGTTTCATTCTCTAGAGTGTTATTACTTTATTTACCTTTACCCACTGGGAAGAGACGTTGCTATGGATGCAACTCAAATAAAGAAATTTGTTCCCAAAGTGTTTTAGATGGGAAAACGCTTGCGCTCAAATTAAAATAGTCTATCCCCACCCCCTCCCCCCATAAAACTAGACTGGGAATGTGAAAGTATTGCATGTTATACAAAATTAAAGTTATGAGTGATAATTAATTTTCTGTGAACAGAATCAGAGACAACGACATGCTATGGATGAGCTGGAGAGAGAACTGAAGCTAGCTAAAGATGCTTGTGAACGATTCAAAAACCAGGTATGATAACAACTTCGAATCGTAAAGGGAAGAGGTAGAAAATCTCCTTCAAATCTGAAGTGTAAACTAAGTGTATCTTAAAGGGAAAAATGCATGTTGCTTGGTGATCAATTTTTTCAAAGGAGAGCTGAACAAAGGAGCTTACGAATTATGGTGGAACTGATTTAATACACTGTACAACGTCTGACGTTCTAATGTTTCGCAAGAACAATTCCTCTATTCTTTATCGTACTTGAAACTTTTTAAAAAAACTTTCAAATTGCAATTTTAAAACAAACTATTGAATTCCAATTCGGTCATTGAATAGAAGCCAAAGGTTCGTTACTGGCTATTAAGTGTTACACTTGTAAAACATGGACGATGTTTCCAGTTTTCGACTGAGAATAATGGCGCTTTTCGTATGAGTGGAAAACATACGGTACTGATTACAGCACGTACATCGCACGACCAGTTGTAAAATGGAAATGGTTTTCTAGAGTGGTTATGGTATGAGTGGGAAAATTACAATATTGACTTACAGCACATATACTGTACTACATGCTTTAACATTGAAATTACTTCCAATTGTCTTCCCATAATTCATCTTATCACAAAGTATAGTTACGGCTACAGTAGTGCTACGAATTCACCGCATCGTTTCACACTCATACGAAAGCCGCTCTACTGATAAACTAATCTAAAGTAGGCTTAATAATCTAGCGCATGAAACGTTAAGCGACCCTATGAGCTGTTTTAATTTAAGGTCGCGCATTGCGAGGAAACGATCCAGAACTTAAAGCAAAAACTGTCGGAGAAACAGAAAGATGGAGCGGCACAGGATGAGAAGATAAGACACCTGGAGGCTGACCTGAAAACATCTACTGATAAATATGACGATTCTGTCAAACAGGTATTATATACTAGGATCATCATCATCATCATGATCATTGATGTCATCATCATCACCACCATCATCAT